ATGATTACTATGAATAATGAAGAATAATACAAAGTTAGAAAATTTTGTTTATTTTGGAAATAAACAGAATAATAATAAAAGATTTGTTAAAACTTTTGCAAATATCAGAATAACCGAATATTTATTGTCCAGGTTATGAAGCCGAGCTTGTTACCCACACGAAGTAAGTCTTTAGCCAGAATTTTTCAGAGTAGCTGATAGCGAAACTAGAGGTGTTGAGCACTAACCACAAGAAGAGAGGTTATACATGGATGACATAACTTGAGAAAATAATGCAAAATACTTAATTTTTAGTAAAGATGCTAATTGTATTATTCTCAGCCTGACGAGGAAATAAAGCCATTTAAAGAATAAATAATAGACTGCTATAAAGTCGCCATAATCTGCTTGAAATTATTTGTTTTTCGTTCTTCCTTTTTCAATTTTCTTCTTTTTTAAAAAAGCACGTATGACAATATGGTCAAGTGGATTATTATCATTTCAAGTATCTTCTTCTTCTTCTTCTTCTTCTAACAGCTCTCATCTTTGCTGGCTAACTCAGCACAAGGGTAAGACATTTCCAAACGGCGCGATCTGATGCCATCGTCGACAATAAATATGCGTCAATTCTAGTGGTGGACGACGGAGAATATGCCCTAACCATCGAAGGCGACACTCTGAAATGACATTATTAATGCAAATGGTATTTGAACGAAGATGGATGCGATCGTGCGATATTTTATTCGCTCGACGGACCCGTAAAATATACTTTAGACAAGAGTGGTCAAAAGAAGATAATTTCTTAATATCCTCCACTCTCATTGGCCATACCTCAGAGCCATATAGCAAGATCGAACGAATCACGGCTATATAGATGCGGACTTTCGTTTTCATGGTGATTTCACGAAGGCTCCATAAAGGTTTCATTAATCGGAAGAACACATTTCTACCTGCCGTGATCCGAACTGTAAAATCGTTTTTTGCCTGGCCGTTTGGTATTAGAGTGGACCTAAAGTATTAAAAATCACTTCTTCATCTGGCAATGAATTTATAAAAAGAGGCATTTGATCAGCTTCTTGTACATAAGACGAAAAGTCTTTCGTTATTTTACATTGATTCTGAATCCGACTTTTGCTGCAGTTTCTGATACATTATTTAGTATTACTTGCATTTCGTCATAATTGTCAGCGAACAAGACTATATCATCAGCGTATCTAAGATCTGTGACAATGCTCTGGACTAATTTGGACACCCTTTGAGTGCCGACAAGCGGTGTCCATTACCAAATCTATCACATAATTGAATATTATAGGGAAAAGGACACAATCTTCACGGACACCAGTTCTGATTTCGAAGGAATCTGTCAATTCCCCATATACACAGACTTGCGTCGGCTCATAAAATGCCTTTATGAGTCGAATGATTTTCTCTGGAACACATCTTGGAACACGTCGCATTCCAACATCCTCCATAGCGCCACTCTATCAATTGAATCAAGGAATCAGTTGAAACACTTGATAGTGGGTTGTAAATATCTGAAGACATACGCCAACACCCTTCTTAATGTGAATATCTGCATAACTGCTCCTTGTTCTGAATCCAGCTTGATTAGGCGCATCCTGATGTCACATACTTCCATAAGTCTGTTGAGTTAAAGGGAAGCAAAAATTTTTCCTGAGATGCCTAAGATGCTTATTCCTCGATAATTTTCACAGTATGTCCTATCATCCTTCTTGGAAATTGGGAGCAAAATTGCTTTGCTCCAATCATCTAGTAATATTTCTTTTTTCCATACCAGAGAGTACATTTGTTGAAGGTGTTTATGAAGGACGATGGACAACATTTAAAGAGTTCAGCCATTTTCCCTCAGAGTCTTATTGGCCTTAAACTTATGGATAATGGAGATTATTTCTTCTTCCGTTGGAGGCTCTCAATTACAAACGTATGGTACGGTGAACTTGCCAGCTAAATTAGGGACAACAGATGACACTTCACGGTTAAGTCTGGCCTCAAAGAATTCTTTCCATCTTAGAGGCGATACTTATGAGGCGATACTTTTGATACTTTTAATACTCTTAATACTTTTGATTAGTACGCCATTGCTATCTCTTATCATTTCACTGTTCGTTCCCCAAATCATAGTTGCTTTATGAAGAAGGCAGAATAGTTTCCTATTGTCGCCTAATCGAGCCGCCTCCATTCTCAAGGCCATATTACTAAAACAGTAATTTCTGTCCTGCTGTGCTGCTTTCGTTGCAAATCTTCGAAGCAACTGGTAATGAGGATCTCATGACATTCGTGCTTCGGTAGCGTTTTCAGATAGTTAGACGGTTGCTTCCGATACCCAACTAGAACATCTCTTACTAATATGCCTTAGCGTGGAAGTGGCTGACTTTCGAAGACATTCCTTTAGTTTGGACTAGTATTCATTTCCCGTTCCAGAAAAGTCAATGAAAGTCAAAGTCAAGTTGGTGTTTTTCACATAAATTTAATAGACACATTAATGATATGATATCATCAAAAAACATTGTTTATAATAATCACCCATCTGAAGAATCAATCCACATTTCGCTAAATTCCAAGTCTTGTGGGACCAAAAGCGATGATGCACAATTAAAACTTGAATTGATATTGATATAGTAAGAGAAATTTTGAACTCACAAATATAAAAATTGGCCTAAAGTTTATCTGATGTGCTTAAAGTGATCTCTAAATGTCCACAGTAATTAAATTTACAATGAATTCTCCTAATAAATTTGAGTCTTTAAACCAAAATCTATAATCTTACGCTTTAAGAAATGCATCTACCCATTATTATATTCTAGCAATCAGTGGCAGCAAATATTCGGAGGTTCATATGATTTTGGGTAAAATTTATTTTTCAAATCAAAATTTTCAATATGAGAATTAAGATATGTTAAATATGAATTGGATTGCAGAAGCTGCCATCCCCTATCTGCTTTTATATGAACTTGTTGATTTCAACAAGTTATGAAAAAAAAGAGACCGGGCAGTATAAAAATAAACGTTAAAATATATGGGATTTTGGTAATAAAACAATAAACAATAAAGACACGCGATGGCCTTCAAATATTGTTTTGTTCTTTTGCAAGAAGAGTGTTTAGGGCTGTAAATTTAGTGCTATTAAGCCCATTGCCCCAACACTGCACTGATTTCATTTTGATGATGGGTTTACTTTAATGGATGCAAATCGAATCCATAATATATGGCTTAAAATTAATCGAAGCAACATACTATCCCCCTCTCTAACTCAAACCAATAAATCGAATATGCAGAAAAATTTATTGTTGATAATTACTAATTGGTAATTTCAATTTCAATTTATCGGTAATTTCGCTTCTTCCTAATGGAAAAATTTCAAATGCTTTGAAATAGCAAAAAAAAGCAAAAGCAACTGACAAGTAAAAATATTATACGCGAAGAAAAATAAAATAAATTAGGAAATAACTACTTTCGCTGAAAAATAGAATACATCGTTGAGATTTCCATCTCTTTCTCAGACCACAAATCTATTTTCTCGGCCACTAATAATAACATCAATAAAGACTTGAAGAATCTGCCAAGTTACATAATTTTCGTCATGCAAATTGAATGCTAAACGAAGCATTAAAAAAAAAATTGTAATTAGAAAAGCGTATATATTTTTACCAAAAATATTTCTGATTAAACATTATTTAACTTGGAAAACAAATACAATTCAAATGGAAAAATAAAAGTGGCGACGGGATATTCACGAAAAATTCATTTCCATGGCTGTAAAATAAAAAAGGCTGCTTAAAATGAAAAGTTTGATACTTCATAATTTAATTTACTCACATTGAGGAATTAATGCTTTGGAATGAGATGAAATAATTTTTTAATAATGTATCGGTAATAAAAAATTGAGAGGCTTTTTAATTCATAGTATTTAAACAAAACTTTGTAAGATATCTCAAAAATTATTGAAAGTAATTTGATTAATTACCAGCAAAAACTTGCAAACTGTTTTAGTATTTAATAAAACCATATATTATTAGGGATAATCTTAGTATATTTTAAATATTTAACAAGTGATAACATTAATTAAATGAAGGAAAAAATGGACAAATATGCATTGCATCGCAGCATACAGTATCATTTTAAATGATCTTCATGATCCGCAGTTACATTTAAAAAGAACAAGCCTGAGGTAAAAAAAAGAGGACAATGCTGGATGTTTACCTATATTTGACTCTATTGCGAAATAATCTTTTCCAACCAGTAACCAGAGGAATCAGTCAAATAAAAAATGAGTGCAAACCATAAATTGTTTTTATGTAATAGACACGTATCAGAATTTTATAGGCAATTTTATATTCAACAATTTTGATAAAATTTCTTTTTTTAAATTTTATTTTCTTTCTTTATTTTATCTTTGACAGGAGTAAATCGATCATATTATCAAAAATCCGAGTGACTGCTAATGATCCACCCATATCTCTGTCCCTAAGTAACTTTATGGTGAAAGGGTCAGATCTCATTGATAGATAGTTTACATCTTCGACGAGCATGATACTACCCGGTAGTGCAATAAATTTACGATTCGATCGCAATAATAATAGGAAAATAATTCCAAAGCTTGAGGATAGGATATGCTCGCGATCAGAGATAACTAACTATTCAGAATTCATCAAGAGAAACCCGTTAACACTTTGTAGGCCTGGCGAGATGCTGGCTATAACTGCTTGGAACGTCAGAACGCTTATGGGCGTTGTAAGCCAAACATTCACTGCCCACACGCTTTCTTAATACCGCGTGGTTTGTTTGTCGCAAGTCCATCTTCTTCATGTCGGCTCTCGAGTAATTATTAAACCTAGTTCGAACCAAAGATATTGACCGTTGTATCTTGGACAACTCGGACCGAAATGGCGTAACGATTGTTATGTCTGAAAAGGCTCCATCCGCTCTCATTGAATGGAAGCTAATAAATGACCGTATGGCCTATGCGCGTTTCAAAGGAAAGTTCTGCAATATTTCGGTCATCAGTGTGCATGCTTCAACTTTATGCGCAGATGATCGGGATAAGGATGAATTCTATGCGGAGCTTCAACTATTAATAGTATTTCTCTAATGAGAGTGACATGGTCATAATCGGGAAAAACCGGAATACGTGCAGCCATGATGAATTGGCAAATATGCATCGGAATCCACTGTGCCAATGAAGAACGTATTTTGTCTAATACCATGAGTTCTTTGTTACTAATATATGCATTCGGAAAAGACATTTAGTTACGTGAAACTCTTTGGGTAACTAATAATCCAATCAGGCTATATATATATATATATATGTACATATATATGTATATATAGGTCAGTTGTCACTGCGAGAGTTTTAGTGTATTAGTTCTTATCGGGGCGCTGAAACTAGTAATCATAAATACCATGTTATGCTTCGAGTTATAATTCGCATAAAACTAATAAGTCGTAAGAAACAAAGTCTAAATCTCCCTAAATCTTTCAACTATTTCTTAAATTAAAAGATCCAGGAACAATAAGCACATCACCGTATTATTGAAAAACCTTAGTAAGATGAATGTCAAGGACATCTCTGGAATGAAGGTTGAACACTGGTCCCAATTAAAGACATGCTTACAAAGGTCAACCACTTCTATACTAAGTATACTGGTAGGAAATAGGCTAGTTGGGTGTCGGAAGCAATTTTCTAATTGTTCTAATTATCTGAAAAAACTGCCAAAACCCAAATGTTAGAAGATCCTGACTTCAAAGAATTACAGCGACACCAGCATGGTGTCATTGGAGCGATATGGACTTGAGAATGGAGACACGATTAGGTGAAGAGGAAATTATTCCGTCTTCCATCATCTTCACAAAGCTACTATAACTCGGGGGAAAGTAAAATGGTACGTAATAATGTACCTATTGAGGAACGCGTCGTAAGATAGAAGGAATTCTTTGAGAAGACCAAACTTGACCAATAATGCGCAATCTTCTGCCCCGGAAATAGCTGATTCGCTCGTCGAACCATAAGTTTACAATTGCGAGCTGCTATAATCTCTGTTATCCAGAAACCTAGGGCCAATAAAACTTCTGGAGAATATGGTATTCGGGCCGAACTTTAAATATTGTCCATCGTCCTTCATATCACACCTTCAATAAATGTACTCTCTGATATGGAAAAATGAAATAATACTGGATGACTGGAGCAAAGCTTCCAATTCCTAAGAAAAAAGACAGGACATACTGTGACAATTATCATAGGAATAAGCTAGGCATCACAAGAAAAATTTTTGCCCCTTTTCTGCTAAATGGACTCATGGCAACACGAGATGGTAGAATGAGTCCTAATCAAACTGGACCGGCACATGGTTGTGCTGACCACATATCTGCGCTAAGAAAAATGCTGGAACATCGTTTCAAATGCCAGCAACCCACCCACAATCACTTGCGTTATCGATTTGCAGCTGGTTTCGATTCAATTGATAGAGCAGCGCTCCAGAAAGTGATGAAATGTGGCGGTATCCCAGAGATCATTCGGCTTATAAAGGCATTTTATCAGCATACACTGCCATAGGTCTGTGTATATGGGGAATTGACAGACTCTTTGAAGAACTGGTATGTCCGTCAGGGCTGCGTCCCTTTTTCCACAATATTCCACAACTATGCGATGGACTGGATGATGAGCATCACTTGGCGGTACTCGAGAGGTGTGTGAATCAGTCCAGAGCATAGCATCACAGACCTTGAATACGCTGATGATGTAGTCCTTTTTGCTGATAGTTATGAAGAAATGCAAATAATGCTAAACACAACACGAATTAGATTTAAAGTCAGTCAGTCAGAACGATGTAGCTTGTGCGTCATCCCTAGCTGTCTTTAAAAAAAGACTAGATAATATCATTTACGATATTATTTAAAAACAAAAAAAAAAAAAAAGAGAAGAGTTTACACCAGGCAAGAACTGCAGGAAGTGAGAAATCTCGATTTTTTTATCTTCAGGTTATATATATGTTACCTTGAATTGTACTATATTATATTGATCTGTAATTTCCTCTTTAAATTGTTAATTTCTGTCATATTGTTTTATAATTAATTTTGTTTATGTTATATATATTTTTTTGTTGTTTTGTGTTTTCTTTTTTTGTTATCTTAATTGTTATTATTAATACAAGCACATGGCCTTGTCGCCCTGCTTGGTTGGTTATCAATAAATAAATAAAATATAATCGATATAAATAAAACGAAAGTGTTTTCATCTTACATACTGATACTACTGAGAAGCTGATAAAATACATATTTTTTTCAATGCATTGCAGGTTAATGAGGACCCCGACTTTAAACATCATGGATCAACTCTAATCCCAGATGGCCAGGCAAATGAAGCTCCGATAATGGCGATTGTTTTTTTCCGGTTAATGAAACCATTATGGAATCGTCGCGAAATCATTATAAGAAGGAAAGCCCGCGTTTATATATTTGCAGTTCGCTCGACCTTGCTATATGGCTTCGAGACCTAGCCATTGAGAGTAGAGGATATTAAAAAGCTATCTGCCTTTGACCACTTATGTTTAAGATTTTATGGGTCTATCGAGGAGCGGATAATCGCACACGACTGTGTCCATCTTCGCTCAAATACCACTTGTATTTCGCTGGTTAAGGCATGTTCTGCATGTTCTACGTCGTCCCACACAGGAACTGACGCATATTGACGAACCATATGATGGTTGGCGTTAAAAGTGAGGAGGGCCAGTCAAGACCTGGGCTGATAGTCAGGAAAGGTTTTGAAAGGTATAGGTGGACCAGCGATATATGGATTTGGACGATAGAAAAAGGAATGGCTTCTATTGCTTCGATTATCCTTGTAGCCAGTGTAGCTAACCAATAATGGTAAGAATTGTTAGAAAAAGAAGAATAATAAAAAAACTAATTAGCCTAAAATTAAGTTAACTACATTAATGAATAGCCGTACGGTTTCAAGTGAAATGAAGGTTAATAGTGAGGCTCGATCATAGCAGTACAGCAGCAAGTACTAATCACCAGATCTATTGAAGAGGAATCTGTCATATTAGACCCTAAATGCAAAAAGGTCCAGAAACAGTCCAGCAAATGGCGAGATGTAAAATGTAAGCAGGAACAACATACACTGAAAGGAATAACCAAGTAGCTGGTATCATTTACAGGAATATCTGCTCGAAATATAGCCAGATTAGATTCGAGAAATCGTCGAGAATAAGGCAATAAGGATCCGGTAGATCTATCCAGACAGGCAAGTACTGGCTAATCAACTAGACATCACGATAAAAGACAAGAATCGGAAGGCACTAGTGGTAGATATAGCAATATAGAATATGTTAAGTTAGAGAAATATCAAGGCTGAAAAAGAAACTAGAGGTGTGGAAAGTAGAGGCCAAACTAGTTCGAGTGATAATTGGAGTACTTAAAATATGATCCCTAAATTAGAAAAGTGGTTTTAGCAAATTCCAATAAATAGGAATAATCAGAGACCTCTATCCAGAGAGCTCATTGCTAGGAATAGCTAAGATATTGTGCAGAACTTTTAATCTCCCAGACTTCTGATAGAGGACCCGACATTGAGGATGATCATGATCATTCACAGTGAGTGAGGAGAAAGGGGAATTTTTTTATAATGAAAGAAAAAATATAAAAAAACTTGATAAAAAGAATGTTTTCATTCGTCAAAGTTTTTGGTAAAATTTCGATATAGTAAAAAGTGAGACAAGTTTACAATCGATAATTATGGTGAAATTTTATGTAAATACGTATAAACATCCGCAAATATGAAAATTGATAATTAGAAAATGGAATTTGATAAAAAAAATGACTTGATAGGATGAGACTTTATTCTACCCTTTCAATCGTACTGATGTTTTTGTTCCCTTATATCGTCTCACGTTTGACCTCGAATATTCTGCTAGATTTTTTTGGAGCCGCCAAATTTTATTCCTTTAACACCTTCTATTTTCATCTATATCCATCAGCTTTCCTTTTAGAATTGGGGATTTCGAATGGCTAGAATCGTCTCAAACCTACGCAAACCTATCCCTTGTAACTGCTAATAAAATTAACAAGAATAACAAGAGAAATTAAATATGTCATATATCATCATTTATTCCCAAATTTTGACTGAATCTGTTATGACATCTAATTAAATCGCGAAAATTGCAAACACGAACTAGGAACTATTTGTAATTAATATATCCTTCAGCGATCCAATACCCAAAAGGTGGATCAGAAAGCGAAAATCCATCAGCCGCTGCATTTTAACGTGCTCAACTCTTAAGTTTTTTTTATCTTTTAAAGGTATTGGATTTAAATATAGTTGTAAAAATTTAAGTTATATGCGAGCGTTTTTCCTAAAGAAGTTGTATATACAGCAGCTTATGAATACCAGCTTTTGGTAATCTCTTATGTTACTCTTGCTGCTATACACTCGTTAGATCCTCTTTCTTCAACACTTTTCAATCTCTTCTGTACTCTACCAATATGGCTGCTATTTTTTATGTTTTTATAGTTTATGTTTTTATAATAGCATCTGAGATGGCATAAAAAAATTTACTACCAGTGGAATGTGGTGAAGAGAGTACAATGTATCTAATGGATTTTGAATTTTGAATGTATTAAGGCGACATCTTAAGGAATTTTTAGCTCTCTACGAAATATGGTCGCCCATGATAGAAAATTTCCACTAGGGATATTGAGCTTCCCTTCCCGGATATATACACATATGCATGCATCCACACCTAGTAAACTTCGTAGGATCTGCTGCTTTCTATCATAATCATTCTTAATCATTTTATCACCAAGATAATGGTAAAATTAAAAAATGAAAATATTTCTCCCGCCAGTGCAATATATTATGACATACTATTAATAGGTAATAAAATATGATATAGTTAAAATAAAAATCTAATCGCTATCACAAACAACAAAAAAAAAATAAAAGAAGGCTTATTTGCTTTTTATTCCTTTCATTTAATAAATAATAAATACTAAAAATAATAAATACTAAAATAAATAAATACTAAAAATAATAAATACTTAACTTCAGTTTTCTGTTTTCGATAATCCCTTTTATTATAGTTACTGAACTATTTAAAATTAATTAATACATAAAAATATGTGCAAGAAGCTGATAAAATGCCTCTTTTTATAAATTCATTGCCGGTCGAAGAAATGCCCTTAGGTCCACTATAATATCAAATAACCAGGCAAAATACGATATTACAGCTCGGATCACAGCAGCTAA